TTTGACTGAAAACTATGTGTTATCATCATGTTTTGGGTTGAATGTCATATTTGGGCTTCGTGCCAACTATTTGAACCCTTAGAGGATTTTTATTGATATTTCCTCACTGTTTTGACTGTATACTTGAACTCAGTCATGCTATATTCTACTATTTTTCATAACTCAGTCGTGTTTACTCTTCTTTAACACTTAAATGATATTTTGGGCTGAGCACCATATTTTACTGTTGCCCGAGCGGCTGTGAGATTCTGACTGAGTAAGGCCGAGGGCCTACGTTGTGAGGAAACACTGATTATGAGGTCGAGGGCCTGAGATTTGTACGCCACCAGGTGGCTTGTTGATATGAGGCCGAGAGCCTAGTGATGATGTCACGAAATGGCTTGATGTTGCGTTTGGGCCGTAAGGGGCCCCTCCAGGAGTCTGTACACCCTAGTGAGCGCGGGTACCCATTGTGATGTGAGAGATAGCCCGAGGGGCTGGTATTGTTTCTAAGATATTGCCCGAGGGGTGAATTTGTGACACTGTGCCTAAGGGGCGATCTTTTATGTGTTTATCTTTCCAATTGCCTGTCATTTACTTGCTTAATTGTTAAAAAGGCATTTTATAAAGTTTACACTAAACTAAAGTGAATTTTGCATATTTTCATCGTTTCCTTATTTTTTTACTGGTTTTTACTGCTTCATTATAGCCCGTAATGTGCCTTACGTGATTTCTTACTTTTCAGCCTTTATTTATTATTATTGCTCACTGAGTTGGAGTACTCACTTTACTCCCTGCACCCCGTATGCAGATTCAGGTGCTGCTGATCCTGCTCGCGAGGGTTGAGAGCTCCCAGCAGATTTTGGAGTCAACGAGGTAGCTGCTCGGCATTCGCAGCCCCGTGCCTCTCCCCCTTTAACTCATTTCTTTCTCTTTCTTAGTTATTCTGTAATAGCTTGGTAGACATTTCAGACTTGTAGTGTATTGATAGATGCTCATGACTAGTGACACCCCGGTATCGGACTGTATTGGATTTTATTTCCGCAAACTGTAATGTGCACTGCTTACTTTGGAATTATTTATTACATTTTAGACTTAATTCTTATTGTTAATTGCTTAAAACTAAAATGGGAAAGTGTCGGCTGACCTTGTCTCCATAAGAGGTGCCATCACTACCGGATCTGGGTTTAGGGTTGTGACAATGGATTAGGATAAAAAAAAAGAAATGAGTCATTTTAATCTGGTGTTGTCACGTGGTATTCCATCCAAAATAAGGGTATTTTTATTTCAAAATATAACGGCAGGGGCATAAATAGCCCAATAGTATAACGAGAATATTCTTAAACCATTTTCGAAATAATTGGGATATATTTGGCCCCTTGCCATTTTTAATTTTGGAATAATATAAGCTTTACTATTTTTGAGTTTTATATAAATAATTACTTTTGAGAAGGACAAAAAGGTGATGGGCCTTGATTTATCGTATGTCATTAAGAGTTGTGAGCTCTAATTAATGGGCCCAAAGCTTTTTGCGAAATTCAAGGCCCATTATTGCCTTTTATAATAGAAGTAGAAATTCAAAAATATCTAGATTTACAAGTGGTCATTCAAAAATAGCCACAGTTTTAAAAGTAATCAAAATCTAGCCACTTTTCATGTTAAGATAAATCTAAACAAAAATACTGTTCAAAATCCGGAAAATACTCTAATATATTATACTGGAGTTCCAGCATAAGTATACTAGAACTCCAGTATATTATAATGGAGTTTCAGTATAAGTATATTGGAACTCCAGCATAATATGTTGGAGTTCCAGTATAATATTCCGGTCCAGCATAATATGTTGGAAGTTCATACAAATGTGCTTCAATCTCCAATATATTATGCTAGAACTTTCCGCATGTTAGAGTTCCAGCATAATATGCTGGAAGTTCATATACAGGTGCACCGATCTCCAGTATATTATGCTGGACTGGTCCCTGTTGCAGCAAACGCTGGCTATTTTTAAATGACCAGTCCGAAAACTGACTAGCCCATGCTAATTTTACTGTAAAAGACTCCAAGTTAACTAACCGTTATCAATAATGTCTATCCATAAGCCAATTAGTACAAAATTTGATAAATTTATAAAATATTACTAATATTAGTCAAATGATATCAATATCAGCCAATTAGCTAATTGTTTTTTAAACAAATTTTGCTTTCTTTTGAGTGTGGGCGTTGTTGGAATAAATTGGAAACATCTTACGAGTTTAAATCTCAGTTTTGGTGGAGTTTTGAGGTGGTTTGAATTGAAAATTCGGAGTGTAAGATGAACATAGAAAAAGATGATGTGTGTATCACACTGTGTATCACATATCTATCATATATGTATCAAATATATATCACATGTATATCAATCTGAATGTTAGATACATCCATGATACATGTGTCGCAGAAGAATTTTTGAAAGTCGATTTTAACGACGAATTTTGATACTAAACCAGTTCAAATCACCTCCGATCTTGCTCAAATTTTGTATATTGTCTCATCTATATGTTTTCTATGGATTCCAACCATGCCCATTGAAAAAAATTCTTTTCTGCCTAGTTTTATTTTTGATATTGTATATAATTATTAATGAATTTTGACTCCAAACTAGTCTAACTCACCTTCAAACTTCGTTAAAATTTTGTATATTACCCCATCTATGTGTTTTTAGTGAATTGCGACAACACCCATGGGAGAAAAAATACTTATATTTTTTGAATATTGTATATTATTAGTAATGTTTTTGGTTATTTTTTATAGCATAACTAAAATGGCTAGTTATTGATAAATAGTGATGTTTTCCCTTACGTTCCCGTAAGATTCCCTTTAGGAAAATCCTAAGTTAATGTTCATTTTTGTATTCAACCAATTAAATCCATAACCATCCAAACAAACTTAGAATAATTTAAACTAAATCAAATTCAATGAATTTACAGAACAAATCTAGTGCAGTAATTAAGAAACTATAGAGCTACTTATTAAGATTGCAAAGAATAGTGGGGTCTTTTTACTTGAGTGAATTCCACTTTCTCTCTTATTAATCCTTTAGAATAGAAAAATAATACCACCCTCACCTTTTGAATGGGAAAGAAAATCCCCTTCGCCCCAAAAATAAATCCAAAAAATGAAGAATAACTCTTCCTAGAATTTACAAAATGTCATATCCCTTGTTTGGAGGTATTTTTTTAAGGATTACAATGGTATGATTAATCTTTTCATTCGAAGAGAAATATTTTTGAAAAGGCAAATGATTATACTAAATAACATAAACCAAATCAAATATAAAACAATGTGTTATTGGACGCAAAACATAAACTCATTAGCCAAGGAAAAAAAAATCATAATATAGATTACTAATGCAGATTATTAAATCCTATGTTGCAATACTTCACGAAAATATTTTATTTGAACTCCTTTTTTTAAAAAGAAAAATTGAACGTCACGTTTATGTTAATATACTATTTCACCCACAATAATAACACCACAAATATTTGTTCAGTGAAAGTATTTGATAAAAGTTTCCGGTCTTTGTATTTGCACATTTTGCAGTTTTGCTCTTATAATCATTCTACTATTCTTTAAGAACCTTATTGAATTTGAATGTTTGCCTTGTTTCATCATTTATCTATATACAATCCGACATATAATTGTTGGATTCATAATGTGAAGTTACTTTATTTCTTAGGATAATACATAATTATCCTCTTTGCGGGAGTCCTATGACTTCTTTATCTTTGTTCGAAGTGGTATATTTATCTTTGTTCGAAGTGGTATAAGTACCACCGTTTGAGCCCACGTGGCATCTAAATTGTTTTTCAGCAAATTTTAGCGCGTGGAATGAAAAAACAACGCCCAACTCTGTTTATTTATCATTTTCGCCTTTGTTTTTTATTAATGTCCTTTTAATTTTTCTTTTTCTTTTATTTCTTCTTTTCATCTTTCTTCTTAACAAAATACCCAACAGTGAAAGCTAGCACTAAGAAGCCATGTTAAATGAAACCCAATTCTAAAGACCGACAAATTAGCAATAACCCAATAAAAAAGATGCCAAGTGGGGATATATAAAACTAAGAAAGGGATTTCAGTTTTGAAAAAAAGATTGCCATTTTTTCCGATGACTATCTCGTCAGGGTTTTTTACCTTCACCGTTTCTGTTACAAAATCCTTCCCTTCCATCGTAAAAATCATCTTTAGTGCCTTGTTTCTCTTCTTTTCTTTTTCATAATTTTCTTGTCGTAATGTTTCACCAGAAAAAATGGAGAGTTCGGCGCATTTTAAATAATAAGGGAATGTTTAATATAAAAAGGACGAAGAAATGAGTAGGGAGGTGGAATGGAACTAAAAATCCAAACAGAAGAAATATTCAGTAGAAAGGTGGGACGATGAAGGAGACTTGAGGGGGGAGGGGGAGATGAAGAAAAGGAAAAAAGAAAAAGAAAAGGAAGATACAATAAAAAATAAATAATAAATAAATTATGTAGAATAAAAACACTTGTCAAAATATGATTGGTACATATCATATATACAATTTTAGCTGAAATTGGAATTAATAATGCTAGGTGGTATTTATTATATTTCAAACAAAGCTAGGGGGTCATAGGAACCCCACAAAATATGAGGGTACAACTCGCACAGTGGGACAAACCCAATAGGGTAATTATATATTATCCCTTATTTATTTTTGAAATTCTTTATCAAATTAAACTTAATTGCTTAGACCAACAAAAAGAAAAATTAACCTTAATAGCTGAATTAGTTTTTTCCTTTATATAATAGGACAAGCACGAGGAACAAGGGTGGCTCAACAAGATAGGGGCTCAAAGTTAAACCTCAAATGAGAGGCCTTAAACTTTTTTAAAATCTTTTTAAAAGGTATCATAATTTGTCACGACACCAATTTCCTTTCGTAGGATGTCATGACGGCACCTAGTCTCTAAAACTAGGTAAGCATAATACTTACTGAATTAATAGCAATATTTAACCAACGACCGTCATATATGAAATAGAAATATCTGTACAAAACTTACAATCCCAAAACCGGTAGTGCAAGTCATAAGCTCTACTGAATTTGCTAGAAAACCTCTAAATATAACTGTTTCGAAATACATATAAAACAGTGCAAGTACAATATCAGAAGGTGACTCTGAGGCCTGTGAACACGGCATCACGTTAACCTTGAGTCTCAATAGCAAAGATCCATATAGCTCGCTAGTGATCGACCAACTCCGAAATACCTAGATCTGCACAAAAATATGCAGAAGCATAGTATGAGTACACCACAGCGGTACCCAGTAAGTATCAAGATTAACCTCAGTGGAGCAGTAACGAGGGACAGTCAAGATACCTACTGGACTAAATAACTTGGACAAGTATAGGTGTAGAACTAACAGGGTACGATATCTCTATAAAGCTAGGCACAACAATAATACGATGCTTGTAAAAGGAACTAGAAGATTAATAACCGCTTTCACACCAGGTTTATCTAATAATCCTCATGAGGTACCAAGCCTCAAAATTCACAATTTACCGGTTGCAATCCATGAACCCTAATCACTTGGCATCTTGTTCCCTTATTACAATTGATAACTGCACGGACGACTCACATGCCAATAGAACAATTCTCACATAGAAGGCAAGTAGACGGGAGTACGTACAAATGGTGAATAACATCAGGATCCATCTTCTTAAACTGATAGTGGTGATTAATTATGTGTATGCTTGTGCAAGTATTCTATCACAGTTCAGGACAACGAATAAGAGTAGAGAAATTTAACGGCACATAAGAAACGATCCCCACAATTTGCACAAGGTAAAACTCACACAAATTAGGCACGTCACTACACAAATATTAACAACAATAATGCCCCCAGGCCATCACAAGTCATCACAAATCATTCGCCGACATATCATACCTTGTATCTCCATGTGCATAATAATAAAGTAAATAACCGCCTTGTCTCGCCGTAGGCGCATAGTAATGTTCTCACCTTGTCTCGTCACATGCGCAAACACACAGATATAGCCCGCCTTGTCACGCCGCATATTCAACATCAATAGTAACAATAGAATGACAGAAACCTCGTGCAAACACCCGAACAAATCCTCCGAACAATATCACGTGCCAAAAATATACAACAACAACAACAACAACAACAAAAAACCCAGTTTAATCCCATAAATGGGGTCTGGGATGTGCCAAAAATATAACAATATAATAAAATGACCTTCACAACATGTGCCCAAATTCCACAATATTTTTTCGAAATAGTTTCAATACCACAACCGCGCATAGCCCTCAGCTCAACAACACTGAGTACAACATCAACAACAACAACAACAACAACAATAACACGAGAATATGGCAAGTAAATAAACTCAAGAGCTTCGGAACACAAGAAAACAATAGAACGAGCTCACAAAGAAAGACACAACAAAGACTACTAGTCTCAACAAGAATAGCTCAACAAGGGAGAAATAATATGTAACAATAAATCCATAAAAGTACAATTCGACAATAAGATAGATACAACATAACTTAACAATTCAAAATAAGAATAAGTCAACATAAAAAGAGATAACAAAACTTCGTTTAAGGTTGAGAAATTTTGGAAGAGGCAACAACAATTTCAATTAAAGATAAAGCAATTTCGGAGAGATAATAATAATAACCTCAAGTAAGGATAAGTAGTTACGGAAAAAGATGGTAATGACTTCAATTAAGAATAAGCAATTAAGGAAAAGATGAATGGCAATAAAAGAGGCAATAACTTCAATTAAAGCACATAAGGATTCAATTAGCAAAAAGGGTAAAACATGAATCAATTAATTTTCAAATAATATACGTAAGGATAAATTTTGTAAATGGAGGATTTAACATGATAAAACAACTTCATAGCTATTGCACGTAAAAACCTAAGGGCCTTAAACAATCAAATTTCCACAACTAAATCAGAGTACGTACTCGTCACTTCGAGTACTCAGCCCTCACATGACACAATTAGCACAAATGACTCAAATCCTAAGCGGAAGTTCTCCCACACAAAGTTAGGCAAGATACTTACCTCAAAGAAGCTAGACTAATACTCTAAAATGACCTTCTCGGGTAAACCAACCTCCGTACGGCTCAAATCTAGCCAAAATAACTTCAAATCATAAACAAAACTCATAGGACACAATTTCGGATAATAAAGTTTTGATCTTTAATTAAAACTAAAAAGTCAACCCAAAAGTCAAACTCCAGCCCCGTACCTTGGAACCCAATTAAATTTACAAAACCCAAATACTCATTTCGATAGGAGTTCAACTATACAAAAATTACCAATTTCTGACATCATTTCGTTCCTCATATCATCATTTTACATTTTGAAAGATTTTTACAAAATTTCTCATTTTCTTCCTTTCAATCCACTGATTTAATGATATAAATAAATATGAAATCATGAAATATAATTAATCTCAGTTAAGGAACACTTACCCAAATCAAAATCGTGAAAACCCCTAAATATTGCCCAAATCCAAAGTTTACAACTCAAAATATGAAGAAAATGGCCAAACCGTCGACTTAAAGTACTTTTATTTTCTACCCAGATATAACACATCACGATAACGAAAAATTCCTCGCGATCATGAAGAACAAAATGAAGGCTGGCAAAAATAAGTTTACGCGAACACGAAACCACAGACGCGAACGCGAAGAACAATCCCTGATGCCCCTTCCAGCTCTATCTCTACGCGATTGCGAACATCAGTATGCGAACGCGAAAGCAAAAGCCTTCGAACCTTCTCAAACACGATCCCCTATTCGCGAACGTGAAGAAAAATTTCTGCCTGATTCCCAATTACATTACGCAAACGCGACTCCTCTAACGTGAACGTGATAAAGAGGAACCAGAAGACAGAACTAGCATTTCAAAATATGAGGAAATGGTCCGAAGCTCATCCAAAACTCACCCGAGCCCCTCGGGACCCCATTCGAATATACCAACAAGTCCTATAACATAACATGGACCTACTTAAAGCTCTAAATTACATCAAACAACGTTGAAACTATGAATCGCACCACGAATCGCACTTATGAATTCCAAATTTTCTAACTTCTAAAATTCGTGCCAAAACATATCAAATCAACCCGAAATGACGTCAAATTTTGTATGCAAGTTACAAATAACATAAAGGAGTGAACCTACTCTTTGAATCGGAATCTGAGCCCGATATCAACAAAGTCAACTCTCGGTCAAACCTCTCAATCTTCCAAAACTTCAACTTTCTAATTTTTTTTGTTGAAATGCTTCAAATTATCCTACGGACCTCCAAATCCAAGTCCGGACGCATGCCTAAGTCTAAAATTACCATACAAAGTTGTTGGAATCATCAAAATGTCATTTCAGAGTCGTTTACACAAAAGTCAAATTCCGATCAACTCTTACCGCTTAACCTTCCAAAACAAGAATCCTTCCTCCAAATCTGAACTCGGCCATGCATGCAAGTCATAGCACATAATACGAAGCTGCTCGAGACCTTAAGCCACCGTACGTGGAAATAATTCTCAAAACAATCGATCGGATTGTTACATAATCTTCGCTTAAAGTCTATATTTCTAATTTTAGTTGCAAGGTCATTAATTACCCTTTTAATTTCTATTTAGACATTGTTGATCTTAGGTAAAAACTTATCAATTTTATTTTTGAAAACTTCTTTTCGCTACAACAACTATTACAAGAATTGCTAAATAATTGTATAAATAATATATGCCTTTTTATCCGATAGAGTATATCAATTAGATCATTATCTTCTACTTGTACTATTTTGCTTATCACTTTTAATTCAAAAAAGTAAGTTTAAACCATCAATATCGGGGTTATAATGTATTAAAAACGTTTAAATTTAAGACAATAGTTTTTCAAGATCATCGGGTGATCTCAAATTTTCACCACTAGATGGGAAACCAAAAGTTTTTATATACTTCAAATTTTAAATTTATTTTAAAGGGAATATTGGGTTAAATTAATTTCAATCAATATATCATATCAAATAGTCATACCCAATAATAATTTAATTTTTTTAAGCCTATATTTTGTTAATAAGTAGCCTCATTTGTAGTTTTCGGATCCTCGCTAGGTTCTACTAATTTCAATAAAGCATCTTTTATTTCGGATCCTCATTTGGAATTTTTACCTATATATACTACATTTTAAACTTATTTACCCTTGCTAATCAAGTTTTAACTTAATTACATGATCATATACAATTTACCAATTATATACAAAATAGTTTTAAATATGTCTTCCTTGATTGTAGCAAATTAATTTAGTAAATCTCCCAATCACGATACTTTTTCCCTCTTTCTTTCTTTCTTTGAAATCAACCCTATTTCTACAAGGTTTTTTCTTCTAAAGCTCATAATTTTCTCTAACGATGGCAATAAAAGGGATTACTTTTTTATCGAACTGAATGTTTCCATGGCTGGAGTTTCGATCTTTTTTGGGCTTCCCCTTTTCTTATTGGCGTTCCGATGGCGGGCTAGCAGCAGATGCATAGTAATCAATATATTTTGAAGGTGTTTGACTTTCCATCATTTACGACCATTAAAAAAACTTCATAGCCTTGAATTCGAATTCATTTTTTTCATAACATATTATTTGTTTAGATTGAATGTTATTGCAACTGATTGGGAATATTATATGGAGTTTATATCTCGATTTTGATGGTATTTGGTGAACATTAGCTTAGATTTTGGTTGGATTTTCATATTAAAATTCGATGTAACGACCCGACCGATCCTTTTGAGCAATTGCACTTTCCTTGGTTGTTTGAGCGCACGAGTAGCTCACAGGAAGTATATGACTTATATGAATCGTTGATTTTGATTTTCAGATTATTTAGAATTTATTTGGAAGAATGATTCTCAGCTAGAAGCTTTAAATTTGAAAGGTTTGACCAAGTTTTGACTTTTTAGAATTTGACCTCGCATTGGATTTCTGATGGTTCCTTTAGCTCCGTTGGATGATTTTGGACTTAGGAGCGCGTCCAAATTGTAATTTGGAGGTCCGTAGTAGAATTTGGCTTGAAATAGCGAAAATTGGAATTTTGGAAAGTTTGACTGGGAGTGGACTTTTTGATATCAGGGTCGGATTTAGATTCCGGAAGCTGGAGCAGGTCCATAATTTCAAATGTGACATGTGTGCAAAATTTAAGGTCAATCGGACATGATTCGATAGGTTTCGGCATCAGTTGTGGAAGT